CCCCCCAGGCCTGGGTCTCTGCTGGTCCCTGCATATCTCTTGGTGATGCCATCTGCCCGTGGCTTCATGCGTCATGACTCCCAGATTGACCTCTTGGCAGAGCCTTGGCCCCTCTGGTGTGCAGCCTGGGGGACATCTACCTGGGCACATGCCTGTGGCTCCGTCTCACCGTGGCTCCCCCACCTCACCCGTCATCCAGTCCGCTGTCCTCTGTCTAGGGCTACTAGTGTGGCTCCTTCCCGCTGCTCATGGGGACGTATGTAGTAGAGAAGGGCCTGGCTGAGGCCAGGCTCGCATTCAGGCCTCGGCGTCTTCTCCCGGGAGGTTGGAGTGAATGAGGTGCCTGCTGGGGGCCAGGGGCCTGTGGAGGGTCAGGGGGCTGATGGTGCTCAGCTGACCATGCCCAGCGCTGTGACAGGCAGTGCTTGATTCTCTTGTCACATCTGTGCCCTGTGGCCTGATGCAGCTCTCTGCTCACTGCGTTTTCACCACAGCCCAGGCCGCTTTCGTAAGCACGGCACTGTCGGCACGGTGCCGTTGTTTCCTTTGCGTGCCGTCAGCCACGTGCCTGCCCACCCTGGTTACGGCTGTGGCCGCCTTCTCCGGGCACTTCCGGTTTTTGCTGGAGCTGGCCCCAGGGAGATTGCACAGGACTTCATCCCCTGGCAAGATGGGTGTGCGAAGGGGTCTCACTGAGAAGATGAGACCATCTACGTGTGCCCCTGTCCCTGCTGGTTTCCAGACTCGTTCTGGGCACCAGTGTCTGGTCCCTCATCTTGGCCAACAGTGGTGTGGACTCTGGTGCCATTGCCCTCTGCAGGCACAGCCCTGGGCTTGCCGTGGGCTGGTCCTCCAAAGTGGGAAGATGCCCTGTGTTGTCAAGAGAGGGTTTTTAAACATTTGTTTCTAACGCAAGTATAGTTGGCACATGATATCGTATTGGTTTTGGGTTGGACAGTTCTGTGCGTCAGTCAGCGCTCACCCCAGTAACATAGTTGCTTTCTGTTGCTCTGTAACTTTGTTACGCTTCGCTGACCGTGTTCCCTGGGTTGTGCATTTCATTCCTGTGACTTTTCTTCCCCACAAGAGGTTTTGTAAGTGGAGGGTCCAGCTCCCCGCCAGACGTATTTGTGTGCTTCCCTTCCCGGGACACCATACACACAAAGTTATTTTCGCTTTTCCCTGTTGTGGTGTTGAGCTGGGTTCACGAACCTGTGGCGTGTGCCTTAGTGGTGTCTGGTTTGCCCTCGTGGGCAGCTCTCCCCTGCTGTTCGTGACCCTTTGCACTTGGTGGGAAAAGCAGGCTTCCGTCCCTGTGTCTGTACCAGCACCTTTGCTCCCCCTCTCTGCTGGGCGACAAGGTGGATGCCGCTGCCTTTGGGAGCTAGTGGTCTGGAGCGAGGGAGGTGGGCACTGGATGTGTGGATCTGGGGTGAGTAATGGGGTTCTGGCTCCACACCAGTTAGGTGGTGGGATGGGGCGCCGTCCTGCTTCGGGAGAGGGGATGCCCCCCGGGGGCGGGTTGGAAGCAGGCGATGGGGGCTGCAGGCAGAGTCTTGCTTTGTCCAGGAGCGGCAGGGGCCAGGACCTGTCCCTGCTGTTCTGGAGGCAGAAGGGGCTGGCAGGTGAGGACAGTGGGGTCTGGGGGCCACGGTGACCGCTGGGCTCGCTCGCAGGTACGCACGCGGTCCGTGGGCGAATGTGTGGAGTACTACTACCTGTGGAAGAAGTCCGAGCGCTACGACTACTTCTCCCAGCAGACGAGGCTGGGCCGGAGGAAATACGGCCCGTCTGGAGCCACGTGCGTGCCGGGGGTGGGCATCCCAGGCGGACACCTCCCACCTGAGGCTGTGTCTCCCACAGCCCCTCACCGTATGCCCCCCCCACAGGGATGTAGACCAGGACCTGGACAGCAGTGACCCTGATGGCCGCCCCCACCCCTCACCGCCTCTGCCCCCTGCTGCCGACAGCCTGGGCTCTGAGCAGGACCCCCTGGCACGGATGCACACAGGTGAGAATACGGGGTGGGTCCCTGCTCTTGGGGGAGCCCCCTCCTCACTGGTGCCCTGACACGGGCCCCAGGAGCTCTCAGGGCTGGGCTCGGGGAGCCAGCCAGTGCCCATCTACCCCAGTACGTTACCATACGTGGGCAGCCACACGCACGAGTGGCCGTGGGGACTTGTTACGTGGAGGGGAACTTTGTGCCCCACGGCCTGAAGTGGGGGCCCCTCTGCAGGCCCCAGGTGCCATGTGGGAGGTCAGATGGGTGTCCAAGCCTCTCTGGCATCCTGGGCTTAGGGCCACACGAGAGCAAGACCGGGTCTGGCTCAGGACTGAGTTTCTGACAGAGGCCACAGAGATAACGGTGGGGACCTTGGTTCTGGGAGCCTGTGGTCCCGTGGGCTTTAGATTGTCCCTCGTTCCTGAATCTGGCACGTTCCATGGTTTGTCTGAAAGGGGGACCACATCTGCCTAGCCCCCGGGACTGCTCGTCATGAACCTGTGCACAAAGGGTTCTCAAATTCAATGTTTAGCTGTACTTGGCATCCAGGCGTTTTCCTTTGAACCTGTTTCGCTCTGATCTGGTTTAAAAAATGGGGGTCAGTACCTCCCAGGGCAGGGCTGTTAGCCCAGGCACACAGTTTCAGTACGACCGGTTTCCTCTGTGTCTGTATGTATTTTCTGTCTTTGCGTGAAAACGCCTTTTTGCAGAGGGGTCCTCAGGCTTTGCTGGGCCCTGCAAAGATTGGGCAGGAGCCCTGCACAGGTTGTAGGAGGCATAAGTGTGATTTTAACTGAGTGCACGTGAGCCAGGATGGCTCTGGGTCCCAGGAGGGCTGGTGTGGGGTGCCACCGGGGGCCCGGCCTCAGCTGTGTTCTCCCCCGCAGAGCCGCTGAGTGTAGACAGCGCGGCCGGCAGTCTCGGTGAGCCTGGGGAGAGCTCCGACAGCCTCCCGTCCTCGGAGCCAGGGCCTTGTCCGTTTCAGCAGCTGGACACGCCCCCAGCTGTGCCCCTGCCCAGGCGGCCCCCAGCCCTGGCCGAACCAGCCTTCTACCCCCCGGCCACAGCCACTCCGGAGCCCAGCACCAGCCCGAGATTGGCTGTGGACTTGGCCCTGCCGGGGGCCCTCCCCGAGGAGCTGCCCCTCATCTCTAGCCACGTGGATATGAATGGAGAGTCTGAGGAGGCTGTGGCCCCAGCACAGGTGGCCTTGTCGGTCACTGAGTTTGGACTCATCGGCATTGGGGACGTGAATCCCTTCCTGGCCGCCCACCCAGCGTGCCCAGCCCCCGGGCTGCACTCGGAGCCCCTGTCACAGTGAGTGCGGCCCCTGCCCCGGGTCCCCATGCCCAGCTGGAGTGTCCCCCAGCCTTAGGCTGAGCTTTGGAGAGGGGAGGGATGTGCCCCCGAGGGCCCGAGGATGGCATGGCCATGTGGAGCAGGCTCTGTTGGTTTCTTTACTTTTATTCTCTACTTTTAATTTGGCTTATTTATTTTTTTGACTAGGTAATACACTCATATGGTTCAAAACCCAAAAAGGTACAAACGGGGCCAGTGCCAGGCTCCTCCCACCCCTGCCCCGGCCACCAGCCCTCCCCAGGCGCCAAGGACAGTGCTGCCTTGGGGAGCCTGTCAGCCAGCACGAGTGAAAACACGGTCTGCTGGGGGCGGCAAGGTCGGGAGCCACGGTTTCAGCCCACGGCGCCGAGGCCGTGCCTTCAGTGGGACTGGACTGACCCTCACCCTCTCTCGGTCTCTCCCCTGCAGCTGTAACGTGATGACGTGTTGAGCTCTGGCCGCGGGCGGCACGTGTGGCCCGGACAGGACGCGGGGCCACCGCGGGGCCTGCCTCTGCCAGTCTTCCCGACCCCTCCCCTCCTTGTGGGTCCCGGGTCACGCCGCCTCTGCTTCAGAACGCGTCAAGGACGGGGGTGAGCGGTGGCTGGGACGCTGCCCTGCCCTCCTCACACACAGACTGGCGCTCTCAGTGCCCAGCACCACTGTTCGTGCTGTCCAGGCCGCTGCCCCCACCGCAGGACCCGCCAGGCAGCTGGATGCAGAGGGCCCGGCCCCGTCTAGCCAGCAGAGGAAGGTGTCCCTGCCCCATCGGGGAGGTGGGAGATGGGGCGGGATGCTGCCCCACCAGCAGCCTCCGCCCGGGGCGCCCTCAGCCCTCCGCTTGGCTCTGTCTCCCTGCACCTGGCAGGGCCTCAGGCTGCCCCAGCTCGGGGGGTCGTGGGCAGCTGCTACTCGGTGCCAAACCCCTTGGGGCACAGAGCCATATACCTCGATGTCGGCCCCGCCCACCCTCGACCTCCACCCTGCTCTCCTCGTCAGGAAAAGCCGCACTTTACCCCACACCTGCCTACCCCCTCTCTCCAGCCAGGAGTAGCCTGGGGGTGGGGTTGAGGGGACAGGTGACCCCCCGCCCCCCCGCCCCCTTGGTACCAAGGCACCGAGGGGGCTGGCTCCAGTCCGTTCCCCTGACCCTGTGGGTCATATTTCTGTTGAAGCTCCCCAGCAAGATGGTTTGGGGGCCCGGTCCTTCTCTTTCCCAGCTTTCCTCATTTTATTTATGTTTCTGTTTACAAATTGGAGTGGGGTCCTCCATGGGGCCAGGGCAGTGCTCCCCAACCCCCGGGTGTCACCAGGAGAGGGTTTTGGCTCGAGCCCGTCTGCAGAGTTGGCCTCGACCTTCCCTCACCCCACCAAGGACCACACTGTGAAGTGATAACTGCCTTGAATCCCTTGCTGTTTTATTTATTAAACTTGATTTGAAGCCCACGGGTGCCTTGTGCTGTTGGGAGGAGGTGCTGGGGACCGTGGGTCGTTTGGTGGGCCCTGTGCTGGCAGCAGTCAGGCTGTGGGGGGCCGGTCCACCATGAGGGCCAAGGCCACAGAAAAGCCCCAGGTCCCCGGGGAAGAGGCCCAGGGTGAGAGCTGGAGGGTAGTGGGAGAGGCTGGGCAGGTCAGGGATGGCTGGCTTCATTCTGGGTCTGGAGTCCCTGGGGGAGTAAGCAGGGGCTTAAGACCACTGTTCGTAGTTGCCTGTGGTGACTGCAGAGGGGAGGGGGCTGGAGGCAGAGTCAGGTGGGGCGCCTTACTGGGAGGGGGGGCGGGAGACAGCGGGGGGGGGGGCAGCCTGGCTGGGACGGGGGTGGAGTCCAAGAGAGGACGAATCAG